CAGTCAATTGTAAACAAACAACAATTCACACCCGCATTCACACCGAAGGAGAATTCAGTCTTTAGTTCACCAAACATTCTCGTTTTCGGAATGTGGGAGGAAAGCTGTAATGTTGATTCAAACACAGAAGCGCTAATGTGTAATATTGACAGGAAAAATGTTTTGGTTGATGAGCAAACAAACTTAGACACAAGAGATGACTTCAATCCGGGTCGCGCTTTCTCAGGAACAAACACACAACGGCTCATATCGATGATGAGTTAATTTTACAAAACACGTTATCATTGTACGTTATTCTTCTTATTTTATTATTATTTTTGGGGGGTGAAATTACAACTTCAAATATTGATTATGCCATGATGACAACTGAGTATCTGGGTTATTAGTCATACACGTTTGTTCCAGATCCAGAGGAAAAGGATACTCCAGATCAAGTTATGGATAGGATGTTACTGATTGTAATTATTTATGAATTTGTTTTCTTTGTATGTTGGCACACAGGTAAAACTCAACTTTTTTATCGTGGCTATGACAGCTACGCTAGTCTTTGCCCGGTTTTGATATGATCTGTGTTGTTGTTGTCGGGTCGCCACTTGCCACGAAAGACTATGGCGGCTCTTCAGGTAGCTGTCAAAACATGGGTGGTGAAACCTGGTGAGAAGCCATTTTAATCGTATTTTTTTTTTGGACTCTAAAAGTCGCACTTCTCTTCATACCTTGGCTGGTCCTGCTACTTATACTCCGTTGCGATTAGAATACTGTATATTAAAATTAGACCTCGGACTCGCACCCAAACCGTAACTGCCAAAACAAGGATTTACACTATTTATGGAACCAAAAGGAGTAATAACCGACCAGGATTCGAACTTTGGCCACAACACCACATGGGATTGTAGTTAAAGTAAGCCGTTTTAAACTAAAAAGAAAAAAAAAATTCTGTAGTTCGAAGCGGGACTTTCAAATCCAACCGGAACTCGTTTGCTCCCGTCAGCATGATTAGGGAACAAGCATTTTGGGTGCGAGTGAAAGCTCTCAGGGTCTTGATGTCATTTTTTTTTTCCTTCTTCAAAAAATGCACCATATTTTTTGACTGGTGCTACTGACGCGCCAAAACGACAAACGATCCAAAAAAACACGGTATTTAACACCTTCACGCACCCTGTAATCTGACAAGCTGTTCACTGTAGTAACCGCTGTCCCCGAAAGGGCTAAATTTGCTGATGGAGAAGTGGGGCCAAAACCTGAATGGCTTGCTAATGGAGGAAATCTCAGCAAAATTACCATTCCAAAGGGGGATAAGCTCAGCACAGTCAACGTTGGAACAATTTTCTGAAATCCTAGTTTCCATGACACACCAGTAGGATATGACGGATGCAAAATTGCACTTCACAAAATGCGTGTCTTTGTCCCGCGTCCGAGGCATCTTTTTACACGTGCTGAACCTGATTGAGGTCCATCAACATGTACAACGAATCTCATGAAAACCCTCCGTTTACGTTCACCTCATTTGTAGAGCATCTGCAGCCGGCTGGTGTGACAGTTATTGCGGCTGATTTTGCTGTCGGGCTGGTAGAGGCTCGAAGAATTGCCAAAGGATGGAGGGACCGCATGCAGGTCAGAAGTGGGCGCGGGGTACCCTGGCGGCGGGGCCAATGATCTGGGGTCAGTGGGGGGGATGCTGAGCGGGGGTGTGTTATGGTTTTGATTGGAGACAGTGGATGGTCTTCTCCGTGATCGAAGGGCCTGTCGCTCAGACAGCTGGTTCCTCAGCTCTGATACACGTTCTTCTTTCTGAGGGCACATTGAAGTGATTGATAAATTATTTAAAAAAAAAAAAATTACAAAACCACTTGTCACAAAGAGACCAAGTAGCAGATGACATTACCAATTTTTATTATAAATCAAGAATTGTAAATCAACGTACGTTTTTACACCCTAATTTCAGTTGGCTCAATGGGCTTCCATGAAAAATCAAAAATCGTAAGGGTCAAAACCTAAAACAAATCAGGAGTGCTTTCAAAAACCAACTACCGGAATTTCAGGATAATTAACCATTACTTTTTCCCACACATTTTCAACCTTGTGTCCAAAAAAAAAGACGCGGATAATTTCTGGATTTTTACAGGCTAATAAGCTTCATGCCGCCAATACAAATGTATTGGCCCATCTCAATTTTCCCACTTTGCCCTTGTTTCACCCCTTTAGCTTTTGTTGAGATCAAATTCTGATTCTGGTAATGAAGTTTTATACCAAAATGGCTCAGATGTTCACAAGTTCCAAATTGGTGGCGTTAGAAAAAGAACACATCTACCTATTTATTCCAGTTGACAATATGGTGGCGAGGGAATGAAAGAAAAAATTTGGCTCACTTCCTGGATTATCTTCTGGAGCTCCTTGTTCTCTCTCTCCAGCTGTCTGGATTTCTCCTCATCATTGTTGTTCATGGAGGAACCCGTTGTCACCCTGGAATGTTTGCAGTCAATTGTAAACAAACAACAATTCACACCCGCATTCACACCGAAGGAGAATTCAGTCTTTAGTTCACCAAACATTCTCGTTTTCGGAATGTGGGAGGAAAGCTGTAATGTTGATTCAAACACAGAAGCGCTAATGTGTAATATTGACAGGAAAAATGTTTTGGTTGATGAGCAAACAAACTTAAACACAAGAAATGACTTCAATCCGGGTCGGGCTTTCTCAGGAACAAACGCACAACGGCTCATATCGATGATGGAGTTAATATTCCAAAACACGTTATCATTGTACGTTATTCTTATTATTTTATTATTATTTTTGGGGGGTGAAATTACAACTTCAAATATTGATTATGCCATGACGACACCTGAGCATATGGGTTATTAGTCATACACGTTTGTTCCAGATCCAGAGGAAAAGGATACTCCAGATCAAGTTATGGATAGGATGTTACTGATTGTAATTATTTATGAATTTGTTTTCTTTGTATGTTGGCACACAGGTAAAACTCAACTTTTTTATCGTGGCTATGACAGCTACGCTAGTCTTTGCCCGGTTTTGATATGATCTGTGTTGTCTGGTCGCCACTTGCCACGAAAGAGTATGGCGGCTCTTCAGGTAGCTGTCAAAACATGGGTGGTGAAACCTGGTGAGAAGCCATTTTAATCGTATTTTTTTTTTGGACTCTAAAAGTCGCACTTCTCTTCATACCTTGGCTGGTCCTGCTACTTATACTCCGTTGCGATTAGAATACTGTATATTAAAATTAGACCTCGGACTCGCACCCAAACCGTAACTGCCAAAACAAGGATTTACACTATTTATGGAACCAAAAGGAGTAATAACCGACCAGGATTCGAACTTTGGCCACAACACCACATGGGATTGTAGTTAAAGTAAGCCGTTTTAAACTAAAAAGAAAAAAAAAATTCTGTAGTTCGAAGCGGGACTTTCAAATCCAACCGGAACTCGTTTGCTCCCGTCAGCATGATTAGGGAACAAGCATTTTGGGTGCGAGTGAAAGCTCTCAGGGTCTTGATGTCATTTTTTTTTTCCTTCTTCAAAAAATGCACCATATTTTTTGACTGGTGCTACTGACGCGCCAAAACGACAAACGATCCAAAAAAACACGGTATTTAACACCTTCACGCACCCTGTAATCTGACAAGCTGTTCACTGTAGTAACCGCTGTCCCCGAAAGGGCTAAATTTGCTGATGGAGAAGTGGGGCCAAAACCTGAATGGCTTGCTAATGGAGGAAATCTCAGCAAAATTACCATTCCAAAGGGGGATAAGCTCAGCACAGTCAACGTTGGAACAATTTTCTGAAATCCTAGTTTCCATGACACACCAGTAGGATATGACGGATGCAAAATTGCACTTCACAAAATGCGTGTCTTTGTCCCGCGTCCGAGGCATCTTTTTACACGTGCTGAACCTGATTGAGGTCCATCAACATGTACAACGAATCTCATGAAAACCCTCCGTTTACGTTCACCTCATTTGTAGAGCATCTGCAGCCGGCTGGTGTGACAGTTATTGCGGCTGATTTTGCTGTCGGGCTGGTAGAGGCTCGAAGAATTGCCAAAGGATGGAGGGACCGCATGCAGGTCAGAAGTGGGCGCAGGGTACCCTGGCGGCGGGGCCAATGATCTGGGGTCAGTGGGGGGGATGCTGAGCGGGGGTGTGTTATGGTTTTGATTGGAGACAGTGGATGGTCTTCTCCGTGATCGAAGGGCCTGTCGCTCAGACAGCTGGTTCCTCAGCTCTGATACACGTTCTTCTTTCTGAGGGCACATTGAAGTGATTGATAAATTATTTAAACAAAAATAAATTACAAAACCACTTGTCACAAAGAGACCAAGTACCAGATGACATTACTAATTTTTATTATAAATCAAGAATTGTAAATCAACGTACGTTTTTACACCCTAATTTCAGTTGGCTCAATGGGCTTCCATGAAAAATCAAAAATCGTAAGGGTCAAAACCTAAAACAAATCAGGAGTGCTTTCAAAAACCAACTACCGGAATTTCAGGATAATTAACCATTACTTTTTCCCACACATTTTCAACCTTGTGTCCAAAAAAAAAGACGCGGATAATTTCTGGATTTTTACAGGCTAATAAGCTTCACGCCAATACAAATGTATTGGCCCATCTCAATTTTCCCACTTTGCCCTTGTTTCACCCCTTTAGCTTTTGTTGAGATCAAATTCTGATTCTGGTAATGAAGTTTTATACCAAAATGGCTCAGATGTTCACAAGTTCCAAATTGGTGGCGTTAGAAAAACAACACATCTACCTATTTATTCCAGTTGACAATATGGTGGCGAGGGAATGAAAGAAAAAATTTGGCTCACTTCCTGGATTATCTTCTGGAGCTCCTTGTTCTCTCTCTCCAGCTGTCTGGATTTCTCCTCATCATTGTTGTTCATGGAGGAACCCGTCTTCATGGTCTCCTGGGCGTCGGATTGCCACTCACCTCGTGTGATCAGACGTCGCATCTACAAAACATGCACAGCAAGACAGGGACAATCTCTAGGTCATTATGCGATATAGCAGATCAGATAATGTAGAAGGCCATTTCTGAAAGAGACTTTGACTGCTGTTTAAATCTGCGCGAAAGGCGTGGCGGGTAACAGTGATGTGGGTTTTTTTTTTTTTACCTTCGGAACAAACAGAACCACCAGGGTGATGTAGACCGAAAAAACGATGGCCAGGGAGGCAAAGGCGAATGAGGCGTCCTGCTGAGAGGACAGGATCATGGTGACGGGGGCTGTGATCAAACAAAGCACCTGAGGAAAAGAGTCGATAGGTAACACATTGTTAGAAGGACGTGTCGGCATTGTGGGCTGAACTGTTTTTGTTGATCAGCATAAGGAGTTGATTTGTGTTTGTGTGTGGCTTCACAATCAAAGTCATTCATTGTCATCGGACGCACCTTATTCATTTTGGGGAGGGGGGTTTGGTATAGAAACTAGGAAAGTACCGTATTTTCCGCACTATAAGGCGCTCCGGAGTCTAAGGCGCACCAACAATGAAGGGCCTATTTTCAAACTGTTTTCATACATAGGGCGCGCCGCAGTATAAGGCGCATAGAATAGAAGCTACAATAGTGGCTGCAGTTACGCCGTGCATCCACTAGATGCGCTAAAGGGAATACAATAAAATACAGCTTTATTAATTTAGAGCAGTGGTTCTTAACCTGGGTTTGATCGAACCTCAGGGGTTCGGTGAATCGGTCTCAGGGGTTCGACGACTTCTCTGCCATGGAGGGTAAGACAGTAAACACGCCACAGCGAATCCGTTGCTTCCATCTCACCCTGTTTTGTGCATCCTCTTCTCTCACACCAGCTACCTTCATGTCCTTTTTCACGACATCCATAAACCTACTCTTTGGTCTTCCTCTCGGCCTCCTGCCTGGCAGTTCAAGACTCAGCATCCTTCTCCCGATATATTCACTCTCTCTCCTCTGGACATGTCCAAACCGTCTCAGTCTGGCCTCTCTGGCTTTCTCTCCAAAACTTCTAACATGAGTTGTCCCTCTGATGTACTCATTCCTGATCCTATCCAACCTGGTAACTCCCAAAGAGAACCTCAACATTTTCATCTCTGCTCCATCCAGCTCTGCCTCCTGTCTTTTCCTTCAGTGGCACTGTGTCCAGTCCAAACAGCATGGCTGGTCTCATCGCAGTTTTATACACCTTTCCTTTCATCTTGGCTGAAACTCTTCTATCGCATAACACACCTGACACTTTTCTCCAGCCGTTCCAGCCTAACTGAACACACCTCTTCACCTCTTTTCCGCACTCTCCATTGCCCTGGACAGTTGACCCCCAAGTACTTAAAATCCTACACCTTCTTTATCTCTTCTCCTTGTAACCTCACTCTTGTACTTGGGTCCCTCTCATTCACACAAATGTACTCCGTCTTGCTGTGACTGACCTGCATTCGTCTCCTTTCCAGGGCAAAACTCCACCTCTCTAGTTTTTCCTCCACCTGTGTCTCTCATCACAGATTACAATGTCATCTGCAAACATCATAGTCCATTCCTGTCTAACTTCGTCTGTCAGCCTGTCCATCACCATAGCGAATAAGAAGGGGCTCAGACCTGACCCCTGGTGAAGTCCCACCTCCACCTTGAATTCCTCCGTCACACCTACAGCACACCTCACCACTGTCTTACAGTCATCATACATGTCCTGCAGATGCGCCTTACAGTACGGAAAATACGGTAAACTGGATTTGCGAGAAGGCCGTGAATTGGTTCTGTGCCATTTGAGCAATTGCACCGATTCAGTTTTTCCACACAATGTGGATTATGTACTGTCCTTTGCACTTAGAGTGATTCGTGAGTACTGACATTTTTCAATTTCATTTGTAATGGCAACATTGTCCTCTTAGAAGATGAAAATGGAACAATATGGCGAGCGAGTAAACGAGTGATTGACACAGTTACAGACAGACATTATTTTGTGTCACAAACTAGCTCATTTTATTCTACTTTCATAAAAATAAATAAAAATAAAATCCTACCCAATGTTCTTTGTTGCAATCACAACAAGTTTGTGTGTTGTCGAGCTAATTGACTTAAAGCCATAACAGCAGTGTCGGGAGAGCTGCCTTTGTTGTTTCTTTCGCTGTGCGATTGCAGGCTCATCGACAAGAAACTTCGGAAAAAGACACGGGGCGTAATCTCCTCCAGGGCCGAAATGCAATTACTCAGAGGCCGCTCACGTCAAAAATCCATCCATCAAACCGGACCCTCGAGATTTTTCCATCCAATGGTTAAAACGACTCAGGCAGAAATGACGCCACGTCGATGCGGTAAACATCGAGCAAACATCAGAACAGAAGTGAAAGCCCGCCACTTGATGTGTCAGGAACCCACTCACTTTCCAAATACGGGTGGCTGAAGCAGTCTTGTCACACGCTGTAAGGGGAGTGTTTTATTGACCGAACTTTTTTTGAATAAGTGGCAGTGTGTGACAATCGTTTGAATGACAGCATACGTGAATTTGGGTTAAATTCACATCACTGCATCGTGTACTTTGTAAACACCGACGACACAAAATCAGAAGGAGGGACAGAGTATATTTGGTGTTGACATCATCGTCTTTTGCAACACATGTCAACATTTGATGATTATGATTTGAATCCGGAACACAGTTTTGATGCGGGTGCATCAAATCCAACCGATCGAATTGTTTGAGATACGTATCAAATCGAGCGAGATGTTTTTTTTTTTTTCCGCCTGAATGCAACATTTACAATAGTGACAACTTTATTCATTTGTATGAAAATGACAACAAGGCGCTGATTGCATCATACCCTCTCGAACTGAGCCACATCATATTGAACCATATCAGAATCCCAACGAATCGAACCGAATGGAATCGTTCCTCGAATCGTATTGCGTCCCATGTATCAAGATATGTATCGAATTGTCTTTAATTGGAGGGATGAACACCCCTAATAATGTATAATAGAGCGCTGTAAGGTGTGCGGGTGCAATTGGCTGTTGCCCAACCGCGACTGACGATATGTTGTTCACTCAATTAATCTCAAAACTAAGAGAAGAAAGGAGAAAAGTTGTGAACAAAACGTTTCGGGGGGGAGGGGGGAGGGAAGAGTGCTTGACTCTCAGCAACGACGCTCATGGTTTCGTTCCGTTTGTGGCCAACAGGTGGCGTTGGAGGGCTTGTCCTCCGGCGTCGCAACTGTTGGTCATTAATTCTTTTTATTTCACTCGGGGTTCGGATCGTTGTGCTTCTGTCACGGGTCTTTCTTTCTTACTTTGGTTTCCAGGACTTTGTGTATTTGGATTCATTTTTTCGAGTGGTCCTCAGTTTGTGTTTTTGTGAATACATTTTGTTCAGTACACCCTGATTCTCCTGCCTCTCTTTTTTTTTGGGTCCTCTAACCATCACGTCACCTCTTGACAATGACATCATTAAAACAGCGCTGCAAGCAAATACGGAAAAAGGACAATTACACAATGAGATGACAGGTGGAGAAGATGAAATGGATGAAGCCCGGGATGGGCTCTTGGAGGTGGGGGACAGAAGAAAGGCGTAACTGAGGTCAAAAATCGATAGACATCGATCGACAGTCAGTCAGCCCTGTACCAAAGCTCAAAAAAAAAAAAAAAAAAAAAAAAAAAAAGCCCATTCAGAAGGGCAAATAAAGGGAATGAACGCACTCTACCAGCAGCAGCAGGAGCAATCCGGTTGTTCTCTACGTCAGGGGCCCCCAACCTTTTTTGCCCCACGGACCGGTTTATGTCAGACAATATTTTCAGGGACCGGCATTTAAGGTGTGGTGGAAATAATACAACAAAATAATATGGGATGAGCTTCATGAAAACTGTGGCGTTTTCGAAATATAATAATAAACACAAGGGGCGTCTAATCTGGCCGAAACACTCCGATCGCTATGGCAATGTTTAATGCCTTCAAAATACGATACAACGCAAATTCAAAGTGCATGAAAATGACGACTCACCACAGCACCGAGCTTGATTTTCTGCAACCAGACGGCCCATCTCGGGGTAATAGGAGACAATGACACCTCAAGTGTGTGGTTTATGTCCAGTCTACTTCGGAATTTTGTTTTCGTCGCCGTTGCTGCAGAAACTCCCCGCCTCACACAGGTAGGATGTCGGAAATAGCAACAGTGCTATTGTGGCGATCTCAGAGTATTCAGCCATTTAATCAATCCAGTTGTCTCGAACGTACTTTTAAGGCCGC